ATTCGAGGCATACGTCACACGCAGGCAAAAAAAAGTTTCGGGTTGCCTTAGTATTATTACCTACACTAAAAAAGGAAAAAGGAAAAAGGAAAGAGGAAAAAGGAGAAAAGAAACAAAAAATGAACAAAGATAATGGAAAAAGAGAAGAGGATCAAAAGGGAAAAAAAAGGAAAAGAGAAACAGAGAAAAGGATCAACGAAAGAGCACAAAAAGGAAGCAAAGGAAGGAGCAACCACGGGACAGCAGATCCATTCGCAGTGCCAAATACAGGGAGATTTGAAGTGAAGAGAGGAGGAGAGTTGAAGAGAAGAGGAGAGGAGGGTTTGAAGAGAAGAGGAGGGTTTGAAGAGAAGGGGAGGAAAAGAGAGAGAGAGAGAGTGTGTGTGCGTGTGTGCGCTCCTGATCGCAGAGTTCCATAGTTTTGTGAGTTCGGATGCCTAGCTCTCGCCTCTTGTTCTTTCCTCCCACCTGTATGTATGTGTGTGTGTGTGTGTATGTGTGTGTGTGTGTCCCACCCCGTTCCCTCCAGGGGATGAAAGGGTCCGAGGGGAAGGTCTCCCGGAGAATGACCGGCCCTCTCAGCCCAGTCGTCCACTGGACACCGTACACACACATATCCACACACACAGCCACAGACACGAAGACGAGCATAGATACAACAGTTAGTCAGTAATCCCATATATATTAGTCAGCGCCTCCCTAACTGTATGCACAAACACCTTTCCAGGTTGATAACGATGCGCATTCCAGAGAGCCTTCTTGACAACCCTCCAGCAAGTGTTTGCGGCAAAACCGTTCCTCCTCATTGCAGTCACCACCTTCCCTATTTCCTCAGCTGCATCCTTCGGCTCAGAACACAACAACAGGATCTGCGCCACTTGGGCCGTGATGACGTGTAGTGACTGCTTGGCACTTTTGTTGGATCTGTACTTCATGAATCTGCAGGGAGTGAAGCCCAGGCCCGTGCGCTTGTCATGTCTAGAGGTGGTGTAGGACCCCGTTAGCGGGGAAGTAACGGTGATAGTCATGCTAAGGAAGTTAACCCTGCGTCCGCATCCATCCTCGGTAACCTCCGTGTTTTCCTTAATCTCAATGTACTCGTCCGGATAGATCCAGTAGGGGTCGTTGGCCTCCCTCTCCTCCCTCTTGCGCAGGAAGCTTCGGATGACGGTGTTGTTGATCGCGCCTAGGTCATCAATGTACCTAAAGGTGTCCGCAAAGCACGACACCAGATGCGCATTCCCTATTTCCACCAGTCTCATCATGGCGTGATATTCGTATTTGATGAAGTTGATGTCACACCATATCGGGGAGCATGCTAACCCCATGGCAATGCCCCTGACTTTCCTCCACACATAGTCCCTCATGCACAACACGCTGTTGGCGATGCACCACTCCGTGAGCCAGCAAATGTCCTCTTCCCTGAATAGCATAAATCCCATGATTCCCATCCCTTCTGGCTGATCGATACTTGTCCATGATGGCGACAAGCTACCATTTGCCCCCACTCCCGGATGGCGTGACTCGAGCTCCTCTCCCTCCGTACTTGCATCACGCTTTGCACATAGAATTTCACCGCCACTGGGAGATTATCCTCCGAATTGTCCGTGGGGATTGTCTCAAAGCACCTAGTAATGTCGGTTGTGAAGACGGAATAGACCTCCGTCGGTAGATTTGTGCAGAATTCTCCAACAGAGGCTATGGCCCACCACAGGTTCGCCTTCACTCCATGTTGTTCCTCCACCTCCAAACTTCTCTCCTGACAGAAGGTTTGTACCACGGAGAGAAGGAATCGAAGCAGGAAGGCACAAAGATCCACCGTTGGGGACACAACAATATTGGCAGTGTTTGTGAACCAGCGAAACGATACAGAGAAGGATGACACGCATAAATCGAGAAACGGTCCAAATTAAAAAAAAAAAAAAGAAAAAAAAAAAAAAGAAAGAGCTG